GGCAGTGCTGAGCCTTCCCCTGGGGGTGGGCACTGTCCTGGGCCAGCCCTTGGCTTCCCTGCGGGAGGGCTCGTCCTGCTGTGTCCAGCACAGCTGCACATCTGGGCTGGCACAGGGGACACTGCACAGAGCTGCCCTTGGAAGGAACATTGTCTTGTTCTGAGCACTGCACAGGTATTTCTGGTGTATTTTTCAATATTTATTTGTGTGAAATCAAAATGAATGCAGCACAAATGAAAGAGGAGGGCAGATGGGAAACAGGCTGAAGGACTCTGTATCACTCCTGGCTCTTCTTTCAATTACAGAGAGTTGAGCCCTTTTGTGTCTTGTCTTTTCTCAAGGCTCTTCACATTTTCAGCCATAAAAATGGGAATTTTTACTCCTAAAAAGAACATTCTGCAGATCCTAAAAAGAACATTCTGCAAATTCCATGGTGGAATATATGTAACAGAGAAAAATTATTCTAAGGATATTAGAAACCTCTATTCTGCATTCCACACGCTCTTGTAAGCAGGGAGGTCAGAGATGGAGTTTTCCATTAAAGGTGAGTTACATCTGACACTCGTGTGATCATGAGAGCTGTCACAAACCAGCTCCATGTCCCCACTGCAGCAGAGCAAAGCTGAGCCCTTGGCAGCACATGGGCAGAGCTCCTGCTGCTCATAACACTCTGAGCCAGAATTAGAGAAATACAATTGATTTGGGGGGATTACTATGAAAGATGGAATATCTCTGCTGAGAGGGGTCTGTCTTAATTGTTCCCCAACTTTTTCTGAACAGACACTGTGCTAAGGAAGAACCAATGCCCAACAGCAGCTCCATGGCCCAGTTCCTCCTGCTGGCCATTAAAGACAGGCGGGAGCTGCAGCTGCTGCACTTCTGGCTCTTCCTGGGCATCTCCCTGGCTGCCCTCCTGGGCAACGGCCTCATCCTCAGCGCCGTAGCCTGCGACCAGCACCTGCACACCCCCAGGGATGACTTCCTGCTGCACCTCTCCCTCACAGACCTGGGCTGCATCTGCACCACTGTGCCCAAAGCCATGCACAACTCCCTCTGGGACACCACAACCATCTCCTACACAGGATGTGCTGCACAGGCTTTTTTCTTTCTCTTCTTCATTGTAGCAGAGTTTTCCATTCTCACCATCATGTGCTACGACCGCTACGTTGCCATCTGCAAACCCCTGCACTACGGGACCCTCCTGGGCAGCAGAGCTTGTGCCCACATGGCAGCAGCTGCCTGGGCCTCTGGGTTTCTCAATGCTCTGCTGCACACAGCCAATACATTTTCCCTGCCCCTGTGCCAGGGCAATGCCCTGGGCCAGTTCTTCTGTGAAATCCCACACATCCTCAAGCTCTCCTGCTCACACTCAGGCTAATTCAGGGAACTTGGGCTCATTGTGGTTACTGCCTCTTTAGTGCTTGGTTGTTTCATTTTCATTGTTTTCTCCTATGTGCAGATCTTCAGGGCTGTGCTGAGGATCCCCTCTGATCAGGGATGGCACAAAGCCTTTTCCACGTGCCTCCCTCACCTGGCAGTGGTCTCCCTATTTCCCAGGAATGGCATATTTTCCAACCTCAATCCCCCCTCCATTTCCTCCCAAACCCTGGATCCGGCCCTTTCAGTTCTGTACTCAGTGGTGCCTCCAGCCCTGAACCCCCTCATCTACAGCCTGAGGAACCGGAAGCTCAAGGATGCCATAAGGAAAATGATGACTGGATGCTTTTCAGGAACCATAAAGTGCCTTTGTTCTGGTGTGTAGCATTCAGAAGGGGAATCCTAGTGGCCCAGCCTTCCTGCTCAGGTGTTCCACAGAGGTCTTCAAGTTCTTCTTGCAAAAATTTTCTGTGCCATTAAATAATATTATGCATCTGCCTTCTAATTTTGTGTCTACCAATTGAATTTGACCCAGAGATGTATAAATGATGAATTGTGCTCACTGAGTATTTGAAGAAAATAAAGGCCCCCCAGTGCCTTCTTTCTCCAAGACCCTTCTTCTTAGCTGTTCCTAAAGCACAGCACACTGCAGGACAGGGGGGATTTGCAAAGGGCAAGGGGACAAGAATCCCAGCACAGCAGCACTGCCAGGGAGCAGCAGAGCTTGGGCTTTGCAGAGCTGCTCCTTCCACTTCCACACTGTCCTTGTGAGCCCCTTTCTGGCTGGAAGGCCTGAGTGCTCTCTGAGCACAGTCCTGGGGGTGGGAGCCCTTTGAGCACAGGCAGGGACAGGCACTGGGAACTTGTGAAGCAGAGCTGGTCTCCCTGACAGCATCTACAGGATGCTGTGGGATCTTCATGGACTACATGGAGTGGGTCACTTCTTCTGTGCCCTTCTGGAACTCTCCTGCAGTGACACCAGGACACTCCTGCTCTTTGCATTCCCAGCCTGATTTGGAAATCCAGTCTTCCCCTGCTGTTCCCAGGGACATGCTGGGAGTGCTTCAGAGCTGCCATCCTGGGGCAGCTCCTGCCCAGCGTGGGCAGGCACAAGGTCTCTCCGGCCTGCAAGATGGAGCAGCAGGGTGGCCAGGGGAGCACAGCCTGCAGCAGAGAGATGGCCAAGGGCTCTGGCAGGGCTGCAAGGCCCAAAGGCACCCAGGCCTTTGTGCCCTTGGCTCTGGCAGCTGCCTCTGCCCCTCAGGCCACCACAAGCAACTTTCACTGGCGGCTTCTGCCCTTGGGTTCTGCCTCGCCCCTCCCTGAGCAGCCTGGCAGGGCTTGCACAGTTTTGGGCCTTTGTTGTTGCTCCCCCTCCCATCCCACTGCCCCCCAAACAGCCCTGAGCCCCCCGGCAGGGACAGGATCTGCTGGGCCAGGGCCTGGGGCTCAGCCTTGGCCTTTGTGCTCCCCAAAACCAAGGCAGGCTTTGCTCAGCATTGCAGGGGCCTGCCCAGAGCCTTTGTCTGCCTGCACTCCTGGCCTGCAAGGATCTGCTCGAAGGAGTCCCTGGGGAGGCTTTGTCAGTTCCTGCTCTCAGTGGGGCCCTGCAATGCTTCAAGGGACTGGGAGTTTGGCTTCTGACTTCCTGAGCAACTTCTTCAATCTTCTCTCTATATTTGAGGATGATGGACTTTTCTCTAAACACACTGTGGGGCTCATTAAAATAAAGAAAAACAAATTATTTTCCTTCCATTTGTTGTCTTTATGATTTCAGTTCTTCTACAGCTAATTGGAGTTGTTTTGTAGTTTAGCTGAGGAGGAAGATTTTTAAGTGGAAGTCACAAAAATATAATTTTCTATGAAAGGCAATGATTTACACAGAACCTTTAGGTTGCAAGAGGGTCAGGGTGCAAAGGATTTGGTCACAAAGACAAGGGGGCAAAAGTGTTTAATAGCATATAATTATTGAGCAACTAATTGTTATCAAGCGATTCAATATAATTTGTTACAATTGAACAGTGACTGAATTATAGATTCCCAATAACAACATTCACACCACAGTCAATTCACACCCACACCCAGGCAGAGATGTGTGGACACATCAAGATCTGGGTGAAAAGGTCCCTCTCCAAAATTCTTCCTGTTGTCAGTGAAACTCTCTCACACATCCCTTTGTGTTTCCCACCAGACAAGGGTCACAGCTGGAGGAGTGTTTGTTGAGGGGGATCAGAATTGTCCTGGGCATCAGCGACGCTCTTTGCAGTGTTGCAAACTGGAGGGTTCCCGAGCTCCGAGAGGCTGCGAGAGGTGTCCCACTGAGAGGGAGGTGCTGGGGAGCTCCCAGGGCCCCCCTCAGCACCGCTGGCTGTGGGCTCACAAGGGCACCGGCTTTAGTTATCTGCTGAATTTGCATTCTCAGTAACGACTGGAGTTTCCAAAATATTTGGGAATTGTATCCAAACTGTTCCATTTGGGTTATGTTTCAGGTAGAGAATGTTTCAAGGCTTTCATGGAGTGACTCATTATCCTGTGTTCCCCAGCTCTTACACCAGCCTAAGTCAGCTGGATGGTTTATTGCCAATGTGTCCCAAGGGTCGGCACCTCCAATGCAATAGAAATGAACAACAACTTTACTAAAACAAAGAACCATCAAGAATAAAGCAAGGATCCTGCAGTTACAGAGAAAACATCCCTCCAATGCTTCTGTCCCCTCTGGCTGCTGAGGTGGCAGCGCAGGCCCGAGGCCTGTTTCTGCCCTGCTCTCATAATACCTAAAAAATGGTCAGAGAATACAAACAATGCAAGCTCTCTCTGGTGAGTTACTGCTGGTGTCAAGGTGCTCTTTTTAATGCTGAATTCTGCTAAACCCAAAATGCTTCATGAACCTTCCAAAACATCGCCTGCTTTTTGAAGCAGGATTGGACAGATAAGCTGCTCCCTGGCCTGGAAATATGTCTGGCAGCCAAACCCTTTCTAACTATAAAAGCCCCGTCCAACTTTCATGTGGCAGATTCTTCCCCAGACTTCCTTGAAGTGTGTGGAGCTTCTCCCATGAAGCAGGGACAGCTCTTCATGGTCACTGCCCAGGGGTTAAGTGAAAGAGAGGGAACTACCCTCTGTCATTGTGGGGTGAATTACCTCAGTCTCTACTTCAGGATTGTTTATTGTTGCTGCCCTTGATCCAATTGCTTTAATAGAATGACCAATAGACTGCACTGTCCAATCTTACACTATATTGCTAGGAGCTTTTGGCTTTTATACTGTAAAGAATTCTCTTTAAGGTCTTTCATCTGTTCACTTGTCTGATCAATTCTCTGTTCATTTCTAATAATAAATTGTACATTTTATAGAAATAGTTCTGATTTGCCATCACTAAAACCTTCAGGAAAGGGGGTTTTATTAACACCTCTATAATTCCTTCAATTTAAACCACAATCTGAGCCTGAGGTTGGATCCAGCCACAGCCAGGCTCCTCTCTGAGAAGGAATTTAGAAAGCAAGGAAGTCCTTTCTGCTCCTCGTAGCTCAATGAGAGGCTTCTCCAAGAAACTTTGTCTAAGCCTATTACAGCTCGTTTGGGGAGACGGGGACGTTCACTCAGGGAGGTTCGAGACAGGACCGTGGGTTGAACCAGAATGAACACTTTATTGAAACGGCTTCCCCCTCATGCAGGGGCAGCAGGGAATCTTCCAGAAGGATGGGTGTGGGTATAACAAATATGGAAAGGGAAGGAGGGGCTTGCCCAAACCAGGCAACCAGGGGAGGGGTTACAATCACATATGGGCAAAGAGGGAAGGGTCTTGAACCATAAAAGGGACAATTACATTACAGCATTTTTTAGCCAATGGGTGAACAGGGAGAAAGAGACTAACAACTTACTTAGGGATTCCTATAAGGATTAGTACAGTATAAGAACTTTACATTAACAATACTAGAATTGAATTAACAAGGTCTTTAGTTTTTGAATGTCCTTAGTAGATCTGAACAACATCTTCATTCTCAGTTGACTCCTTCAAGGTCTCCACAAATCTTCTGTAATGTTCTTCCTCTTCCTCTTCATGTCCATCTCCCACATAGAGCAAGCTGGAAACTAAACTGTCATTTGGGGTTATCCCAGATCTATTTGATTTCAGAAATTATTCAACACATGTTCCACCTCCTCCAGCCAACCCCAGGAGATCAACCTCCTCAGCAGCTGCAAGGGCGGGGTGTTCATGTACCCGCTGCCATCTCCCAAAAGCCATTATCCCACTCCTGCCGAGAAGATGGGGAAGATGAGTATCTACCTCACAGCATCTGCTGCTGCAAGAAGAGTGTGTCCCAAGTGATGTCCTCAGCCTTCTCAGAGGGGACGTCAGATCCACTCCAGGGCCGGTCCCAGCCCTTCCCAAGCCGGACCCGGCACCAGCTCCAACTCTTCCTTTGGAAACAAACAACAAATTCACGAAAAGAGATGACAAACAAAAAGTGGAAACGAGAAAGAAAGGTCAAATGTTAACATTCTGTCAGGGTTCTGAGGAAGGCCCAACCCCTCCATGCAAAAGAAAACCCCCTGCTCCTCCAGCTAAGGCAAACCCATGCCTTCTCCCTGCCCTGCTGCACTGCCCCAAAGAAAGGGTCCCAAGCCAAGGCAGCCCAAGCCTCTCCTCGCCTGCAGCCCAAAGCAGCTGGTGCCCAGGTTCTGCAGCCCCACCTTTGCTCCCCCCACGGGGGTTTGTTTCTGTCAGGCTGGTGCCCCCAGTCCAGCCCCCGCCCAGGGCAGGGCGAGTGGCAGAGCCAGGCTCCCCTTTCACAGCCACCCCAGAGCACCCGTCCACCCCCTGCCAGGAAGCAGCTTGGCAGCAGCTGAAGAACAAAGCACGTTCCCCAGAGGCCAGCAAAGGGGGGAATCCTCGGTGCCCAGCCAGGCTGTGCAATGCCCACGCCTGGGAGCACCCCTGGGTGTGGACTTATCTGCAAAGGGGCTGTGGAGCACGGCTTGGAGGAATGGGCCACAATCAAAGGCCATCATCTTCAGCTCGCCGGCGTCCAGGTCAACCAAGAGCTTGTCATCCTTGGTGCCGTCCTTCATGTCTCCAGCAGCAGGCCCACCTGGCACAGCTTCTCCAGAGGCCCCTTCTCCTTCCCTGTGGGCGAGACCAGGCTGTCAGCGTTCTGCTGAGGGCCCCAGCTGTCTGTGAGGTGGGACGAGCAAAGCCAGGTAAGATGGTGGCCACCAGCGCCTGGGAGACCAGCCAGGCTCTGCAGCCCAGCTCCAGCACAAAGAGGGGCGTGTTCCCAGGGGATGATTCCCCCCAGTGCTATGTGCAGGACAAAAAAGTTTGGTTTTCTTTGCTTCTTGTTGCCAAGAGATGTGTGGAGGTGTTACTTGCCAGGCCCCTGGATCAAACTGAGCACGTGGATCTCTCCCGTCTCCTAGGGCAGCTGAACGCCCTGCACCCAAGGATGGCAGAATAGGTCTTCCAACGATGGCCTGTCCGAGGGGCGGATGGACAAACACCACCTGATAAGGTGCTGGCACCCTGGGGGGAGAAACCAGAAATGGCCGGTCAGTTGGAGAAGGATCCTGTCCCCTTTGTCCCGCTGTCCACGTGCCCAGGCTGTGCTGGCTGTGCTCAGAGCTGTGCCCACACTTCCCGATCCATGCTCCATTTTGGAGGAGAGCAGGATGGCAGGACACAAGCCACCTCCTCCAGCCAACCCTGGGACAGAAACAGCTTCAAGAGCGGGATCCTCGTGAGCCCCCTGCCCTCTCCCAACACCGGTATTGCCCCCCGGCCACAAAGATTGGTATCCACCTTGAGAGACCCATCGTGGGAACGGGAGCTGGTCCCAGATGGTGCTCCTGCCTTTCCAGAAAGGGTGCTCCCCGCAGACCATCTGGTAGAGCAGGATGCCCAGGGACCAGATTGTTGCCGCCTCGCCGTGGTAGCTTTTGAGCCAGATCCACTCTGGCGGGCTGTACGACGGTGTTCCTACGGAATACAGACGGAGTTCAGCAGGTGGGTGCTGCCTGTTACCAGAGCCTCGCCCCAGTGTCCCTGGGAATGTGGGGCCTGCCCCAGAGGCACACGGTGTGACCCACTGCCTTCTCGCCGGCACCTGACTCGTTTCCAAACTCTGGCTTGTAGAAGGAGCCGCTGGTGTCCAAGAGGGCAGCGGAAGCCCTGGGAAGGCCCAACCATTCCATGCAAGGGAAAAACCCACCCAGTGGTGGGGAAAAGCCATGCCTTCTCCCTGCCCCACTGCACTGCCTCCAACAAGTAATCATAAGGCAAGGCAAACAAGGCGAGAGGAGCAGCCCAAGCCCTTCCTCACCTGCACCCCAAGCCAGCTTGTTCACAGGTTCTGACCCCCTTCTCTGCTGCCCTCAGGGGTGTTTTTGTCAGGCCGGCTCCCCCCTGCCCCAGACCCAGCCTGGGACAGGGCAGGTGGCACAGGCTGTCCGGCAAGGCCGGGGCCTGTCTCACAATAACCCCCCAGCCCCATCCAAAAGCAATTTGGCTGAAGAACTAATCCTTGTTTCCCCTCAGCAAAAGGGACAATCTGCGGTGCCACACCCAGCCACGGCCACACGATGCCTGGGACCAGGAGCATCCCCCAGCTGTGGGCTCACCTGCAAACTGGGTGTAGGCCGTGTCCTGAAGGAACATGCCACATCCAAAGTCAATGAGCTTGGCCTCGCCGGTGGCCAGGTCGAGGACGATGTTCTGGGGCTTGATGTCCCAGTGCAGGACGCCGCAGCTGCTGCAGTGCCGCACGGCCTTCAGCACCTGGCGGAACAGCCCCCACGCCATCTCCTCCGGCAGGAACCTCCATGCCGTGATTAAGCCAGAGAGGTCCTGAGAGCACTCCGGACGTTCCATCACCAACAAGAAACTGTTGGGGAGCTCGAACCACTCCAGGAGCTGGATGACCCCGCGAAACCCATTGGACACCTTGTCCAGCAGCACGATCTCCAGGGGTGCCCGGGTGCCGTCAGGCTGCGGGAGGAGCACGATGTCGTCAGTGGGGCCGATGCCGTGCCTGTCTGCCTGCTGCCCCTCCGCCAGCCCTGCATGCTCCCCGCCCCCCGCTGACCCCATGCCCACTGTCCCTCCGGGTGTCCCGGCGGCTTCCACCCTCCCGGGCCTCGGCTCGTCCCCGCCCGTCACGCCCCGCTTTCTCCCGCCGGCCCCGCTCACTCACCAGCTCGCCCCACTGCTGGATGCCATCCCGGGACACGCATTTGATGGCCACCTGCAAGGCAAGGGCAACGGCGGGTTGAGCTCGCCGCCCGTCCCACTCTCCTCCTCCGTCTCCTCCTCCTCCTCCTCCGTCTCCTCCTCCCCACTCACCGGGGCTCCGTCCGCCAGGCGGGTCCCCGCGTAGACGCGGCCGAAGCCGCCGCTGCCCAGCAGCGAACCCACCCGGTACCGCTTCTGCAGGGGCTCCTTCGCCTTCCGTGCGGGCGAGACGTGGCCGTTTGTCCGTCCCCCGTTGGCCCCCGCGCGCCCCGGGGGCAGCCCCGGCCGCTCCGCTCGGAATCAGCCCCGGGCAGAGTCACGGAGCTCCCCTTCCTCCCGCACCCACGCCAAGACCACGGCTTTTTTAGCTGCTTCACTTTATTTTCACTTCTTTGGTGGCAATCTTGCAACTTGCCACCGCTGCTCGGCATCCCCGGACCCCATCCCACCCACTCGGCCCGCACTGCTGTCGCAGGGGTCCAGGGTGGCCCCCTGAGCTCCCAACCTGCTGTGGGGGCTGAGGGCTGCTGGGGGGCACCCCCTGACCTGTGTCCCTGCACACGCAGGGCTGTTGCAGTTCCTGGAAAAAGCCAAGTGAACGGCCCCAGCCGGGAGAGCTTCCTGCACAGGTACATCTAAACCTGGGAGCAGCTCAGGCACTTCACCAGAGATTTGGGCACCTGCTGGGGGACACCCCGTGTAGGGAGACCCAGGCCAGGCACTGGAAAAGCCAACGGGAGTTACTGGAGAACACACAGGATCAGGGGAACATGAACTGCTGGAGCAACTACGGGAATGTGGCCCCGTGTGCCTGGCCTGGGGAAATGAGAGCAAGGCCTAAAGAATTAACTGAAATATCTTGAATGCAGCAGCTGCAGTTCTCTGGCATTGCTGGAGACAAAGGCAGGAACTCAGGAGCTCTGCAGAGCTCTGACAGTGCCACTGCAATCACAAGCTGCATTGCCCAGCTCAACCCTCAGCACAGCCAAGGCCACAACACTTCCTGAAAGGTGTCCCTTCTGGGGAGGGCCAGGGGGACAAACCCCTCCATCTGTGTGTTTAGATTTGGTGTCCAATTCTCATCCCTCACTTAGGGACAAAGTCAGGGTACATTTTATACCTCATTTAACCAAGACTGTGCAAAGTGCTGTGGGTGAGACTGTGGTCCAACCTTCCATTTATTTTGTGGGGACATTGTACAGAGTATTTCTTGGTAGGAGGTGCACTTGGTTTGTACCAAACATCTCTGGGTATCAAAGAGAAGAACAAGACCATGCAGCTTCCACCCCGCTTGTCGTTCCTCCCTGACGCTGTGGCAACCCAGCCCAGGACTGTCATCTGATTGCTGTGTCTGTTCTGATCCCCATGGGCCCCATGGCAGGTTGAGCTTTGCATTTCCTTCCAACCCACACCCCCTCCAGTCTGGCAGAGTCTGTCCCCCTGAAGAACACAAGACCTGACTCTTTGTAGTTCCCACTGCAGGGGTTGCAACTTGTGCCACAATCTGTGCCAGGAGCAGAGAGGTCCCTCCCCACAGAAACTTCTTGGCAATGGAGTTATCCAGAAAACAGGACAGGCTGTGGGGATCAGTGTCAGGGCATGGTCTGGGAAGTGTCTTGAGCATCCTCCTGTTTATCATGACCAGCTTTTTCATCCCCTTTTCCTCTCTCTTTTCTCATACTTTTTCCTCTACAAACCACTGTGATCCCACACTTTCCTTTCCTTTGTTCTTCCCTAGAGATCCCATGACAGGTCTTCCTCAGCTCCCAAATTTGCTTTTTTATTGCCTATTTTAAGTTTCAGGTCCCGAGCATGAAAACCCCACTCCCATTTGTGAGGTCATTCTGGGAGGCTCTGCCATTGACCCACTTGGTGAAGCCTTCACACAGATATTTTGGAAACTTTCTTTGAGTTATTTTTTTAGCTTTTGGGCTTAGAAGGGTTTCTCAAAAAACATGGCAATTCATGTCCTCAAAAATGGAAATTCTTTGGAGCAGGAGTTTGGGACTCAAAGAATCACAGAATGGTTTGTCTTGGAAAGGAGATAAAAGTTCATCTTTTCCAAGTCCCTCGATATGGACAGTGACATCATCACTAATTCAAAATACTCACAGTCCCTGACCTTGGACACATCCAATTCTCTGGGCACCTGTTTCAGTTCTTGCCACACTCATTGTTAAATATTTCTCCCTATTATCAATAAAGAACCAGTCTTTCAGTTTAGAACCATTGCCCCATGTTGTGCCACTACAGCCCTTGGGAAAAAGTATCCCTGGGATTTCCTTAGACTTATGAGCACCATGTGTTCATCTGAAAACACCCTGGAGAGTACCCAGGGATCTCCAAGAAAAGATTTGGAGGCCTCAAGCACATGAACTCTGTGTAGGGACTAAGGAGCTCTGGGCTCCTTGGTGTGGAGACTGAGGACGGTACAGGAGTAGCCAGAGAGGGCTTGAAGGGTGGTTTCAGAGATGAAGGATCCTTTTCTCATAGAAGGAAACAGCAGGAGAAATAAAGAAATGATGCCAAGTTCAGCTGGAGAGGTCCAGACTGGAAAAAAGAGAAAGGAGTTTCACCCTGAGGGCAGTGCTGTGGTGCAACACATCAGCCAGGAGGAGTCTGGATGAGCCCAAGGCTTGGTGTGTGCAGGAAGAGCCAGGGAGGACGCAGAGATGTCAGTGCAGGAAGGGGCCAGCCAGGTGGGGCAGCCGGGGGGATGATGACAGCCTGCAGGGAAAGGGGCAGGGCATGGACACCCTAGGACAGCCTGGGCTGCACAGAGAGAGGCCTGTGCAGAAGCTGAAAGGCCCTGACACAGCCACCTTCTGCAGGCCTTTGGCCATGGCTGCTGGCTGTGCCCCTGATGCCAGGAGGAGACAAGTGGCCCTTGCAGCCCTGGGGCCTCCTGGCCTCCTTGTCCCTGCTCAGCAGCCTGGCAGGTGCCACCCCATCGTCCTGCCCTTGGCACTGCACATCCCACATCCCAGTGCCCCAGGAAGAGCCCTGAGCAATGAGGCAGGGACAGGATCTGCCTTCCCAGGGGCTGGGGATCAGGCCTTGGTCCTTTGCGTTGAGGAAACAAGTCAATGCCTATTCAGCTTCAGAGCCACCTTTGCCTTGCTTGTCCATCCTTGTCATCACTGTCTGCAGTTTTCTGCTCTAACTGGAACCTGGGGACACGTTCTCAGTTGTGTCCCTCAGTGAGACTCATTAGCACTGCAAGAAACTTTAGTGTTTCAATCTCTGACCTTGAAAACCCTCAGGGACTGAGTCTCATGTAAACAAAATCAACATCCCCTCCACGAGGCTGAGGAAATGCCTGGGGCTGTTGCTGTGCTGCTGAGCTGGGCTGGGCTCCTGGCACACAGGGAGCTCCGGGCAACCAAGAAGACTTTCAAAAAGACAGGTCTGCCTAGGAGCAGCTCCTGTCCACAGCCCAGCAGGGCTGAGGGCACTGCCTGCAGCACCCAGGGCACAGGAGAGAAGACGGAGAGGTGAGAGGCAGCCTGGGCTGGGAGGGGACTGAGCTCTCACTGCAGGAGAAACCTTCCCAGGATTTGAATGAAGAATTCTCTGGCTGGAGGAAACTTAAACTTCCCTTCCTGCAGGGATCTCCTAAAGCTGCCACATCCCACAGCTTGTAGGATCTTTCAGAAGGCCTCTCCCAGTCCCTGCAGGGCAGAGGAAGTGGCCCTATGGCAGAGCAGGGCAGGAGCTGCAGGCAGCAAAGGTAGCCAGGAGAAGGAAGCAGGAGGTGAAAGGGATCCTGGGCTGGGAGGGAGGACAGGGCAGAGCTGCTCAGGGGAGGAACCTTGGCAGCCCTTTGGCACGGGAAGGCTGTGGCTGCAGAGCAGGGCAGAGGAGTTGCTGCAAGTGGTTCTTGCAGCTGCCAAATGCCAGCCCTGGCAGGAGCTGTCAGGATGGCTCTGCTGGATTTGCTGGGAGGCAGCAGGAGAAGCTGCTGCAGATCAGGACTTGCTGCTGCCCCATCAGAGGCCCAGGGCCAGAAGGTTCCCTGTGCTGGGGCTGGCTGTGGGGTGGGAAGGTGGGGGTGCAGCCAGGGGTGCCCAGGGCTGTGGGGCAGAGCAGGGTCCTGTCCCCCAGGGCTGTGTGTGCTGGGGCAGGGACTCTGCTGCCTGCCAGGGGCAGCTCTCAGCCCGGCCAAGGAGCTGCCACGGGGCTGGGGGAGAAGAGATGTGGGCAAGGAGCAACTACTGGTAGGGCAGAGCAGGGCAGAGTCCTCCTGATCTCCAAAGTGTGCTGCAGGGATGAGGACTGGTCACAGCTCCAGACCAAAGAAGGAAATTTCCCAGAAGGTGTTTGCAAGAGGCACAGACACACAGGGAGTACCTTGAAGAGAATGAACCAGTTCTTTCAGTGTTACACTCTGGGTTGTCTGGGTGCTCACTGTGACAGAGAAATTAATCTCTGAGCAGAGGAAGAGGCACGGAAACTGGAACTCTCTTAGATTAGAGGCAATTGAACCTTAGAGTATCAGACATCAAAACTGTCTTAGAGACAGCATCAGTGTCACATTTCCATCCTCCTCAGGGCTGCTCTGACTTTGCCGTCAGAGCGTGGCCAGGCAGAGCTGCCCCTGGGCAGTGGCCTGTGCTGCTGGGAGGGCTCTGCAGGGCAGAGCTGAGCCCCCAGGGCTGGGATGGGCTCTGGCAGCACTGCCTGGGCCCAGGGAAGCAGCTGCTGGCAGGGACAGCTCCAGGCAGCAGAGCCCTGGGCAGGGAGTGGGGGGCAAGTGCCTCCAAGGCCCGGGGGAGGGGGTGTTCAGGCAGCTCTGGGGGCCCTTCCCTGCAGCTGTGCTGGGCACTGTGTGCTGGGCCATAGAAATGAGGATTCCTGCACTGGAAAAGAACCTTCCCCAGCTGTGATGGTAAAAATAGAAAACACCAGTACAATTATTCTAAGGAGAGACTAGGCTTCTGCTCTGCATTCCCAGCTCTTTTGAGTCATGGGGGAAGAGATGGAACTTTGTATTCAAGGTCTGTTACATCTGACCTTTCTTTGTATCTCTGAGAGCTCTACCAAGAAGTTCCATGTTGCACTGCAGCAGAGCAAAACTGACCCCTTGGAGTGCATTTGGTGACATTTTTCACATCGATTTCCTTTCAAAATGGAATTGTTTTTTCCCAGAGCTCTGTCCTAACTGTTTGCTCTCTTTTCCTTTTCTGAACAGACCCTTTGCTAAGAATTATCAGATGCCCAACAGCAGCTCCATGGCCCAGTTCCTGCTCCTGGCATTGGCAGACAGGCGGGAGCTGCAGCTGCTGCACTTCTGGCTCTTCCTGGGCATCTCCCTGGCTGCCCTCCTGGGCAACGGCCTCATCCTCAGCACCGTAGCCTGCGACCAGCACCTGCACACCCCCAGGGACTTCTTCCTGCTGCACCTCTCCCTCACAGACCTGGGCTGCATCTG